AAAAAATTTTGGGTGTTTGGACAGATTCGCATTCCCCGCAGCCCCTTTGAAAGGGATGACCTCTGGAAACTCCGGGTGGAATTTGTTGTATTTTTTTTCCCCTGATCCTCTCATGACGAAGTTTCATGTTACTATCATTTTATCTTTCACCCTACTTTTTTGAATAATGTATTTTAAAAAGTAGATGATTGTTTTATTTTAAATTTTTAATAAACATTCCTTATTGTTTAAACTCATGTTAAAGTTTATTTCATTTCTAGATGTATGTTGGTGTCAGTGCTTTTTAAACAATATCAGTCTAGAGGGGGTTTAATTTTTATTACCAAAAAGGAAATTTGTCGGGGGGGGGAAATCTCTCGTTAAGCGTTTAGGCATCAAAATTCCCTATCCTTTTCGGGATATTCAGGCACTCACCTTCTTCGCGAGCCAATTCGAGTCTGTATCGGGTATCCAGGGACCTGTCTGCTCTTTGCCCAAAAAACAGTTGTCCCGGTTCCTAAAAAGATACCCCTTTAGTGAGTGTAAAAGGAACCTGTTCCACGACAATGCCCCAAAAAAATATAAAACTGTTTTTTACAGCCTAATCTGTTCAAGACCCACATATTGTCTTCAAATGAAACCCTTCTCGACTTTTTGAGCATATTCTTGAGACGGGAGAACATATCCGTGAAAGTCTTGGTTTCTTCCCCGGTGCTGCTTTAGTTGCGCTATAGCAAAGGCAAAAAGTCGTTTTTACAGTTCTCCTTGTTCCTAAGCCGTTGCCCACATCCTAAAGTTTCGAAGGCTTATCAAAGATGCGAGGGCCCCAAAAAAAATTTTGCTTGGGCACTTGATAAAAATTTTTGATGTATTTTGTTTTTTTAAAAAAAATTTTTTTTTTTTTTTTGGGCATCCAAAAAAGCAAAGGATTTTAACTATAATCTCTGGAGGCCTAAAATTTCAAGTAATTTTTTCTAACCGGTTTTTAAGGCTGTTTTAAACCCATGATTCAGCCATTTAAAAAAAAAAAACACCATAAAAATGCAGATTCGAATCTGTGGCCCCCAACATACTTACTATTCGTCATCTCCTTGTGGGGTCAATTTTTTTCTATTTTTAAGCCTTCTCTCTCTCTCACACACACACCACACACACACACACATACCCCCACCAACCACCCCTCCCCCCTTTTTCCATTTTTGTGCCTTTTTGTAAATTTTTTCATTCCGTCTCTGATTGTGCCCAATTATCTTCATCTTTTTGTATTATTTTCAAAAGACTACCTGAAGTGAAAAGCCGGTTTTAAAACATGCAAGTGTTTTTTTTTGGGAAATGTACTTTTAAAATTAAATTAAGCTCCCATTGTTTGCTATGATCGGTTTCTTTTTTTGAATCGGTATCTTTCTCGAACGGTTTTCTTTTCTTTTCTTTAGCATTCCTGCCCTTCAGGTTCTTTCTGCAGATTCACCCCTTCCATTCATCTTCTGGTTTGGCCTGGAAACCCGGGGTTTTTCGGTTGTCTGGATATTATTCTATATTTTAATTGGGCGCCTCTTTTTATACGCCCCTTCATCCCCTGGTATACAGTTTTTATACTCTTCTCTGACTTTCTTTCAGTACCCCGCCATATCTTCTTTTACTCTCCGTGCTTTTAGTGATCAGGGGAAATTTTAAACAGATTATGAGTTTCGTTGTTGCTTCCACTCTCTGTCCTCGTGTTTCATCTTTGAGGGGTCAAAAGACTCGTCGGGGCCTCTGTTTTCGAAAACCTTAATAACTTCTCTCTTTTAGTTGTGCTCCAAGTTTCAGAGCCTACAAAACAATGGTCTTGTCATCTTTTTAAAATTTTTTATCTTTATATTTGGGGCAGACCTTGATTTTTAGCGTGTTTAGGGCACCGAAAGGTTTTCTGAATTACATATTTTAAAAATTGGGAGGATTTTTTTTTGGGGCGTACTGTGTAAGTCGAGAAATTTTCCCCCCCACATGCTCTTTAACCGGACAGCTTTGTTAAAAATTTTTTAAAAAGAACTGGGCGATTCCACTGTGGTCTAAATTAGTTCATGTGTTTCAAGTTCATTCCACGCTTACTTCATCTTCACGTTCAACTGGAGGGTATTCACCTGCCCTTCTGTACAGAGATGGCAATCGATAACAGATTCTTTCCGGGAGTGACCCGGCCCTGTTTTTTAACATGGACAAACTGACAAAATGTGCATATCCTTTAGCACGCATCGTCAGTCAACGGTAAAATTTTAGGGAATCTTTGCTGACTTACATCCCCGCTGATATTTGCAAATTAAAAACTGTTTTGTATTGCAGGGCTCCTGGATGGTAGCAGCCAGCGAGAAATAGCTTTTGTGTTTTAGCTGGACATAAGAGTTATCATTCGTTATCTATACTTTCATGTGAAATAATTAAATGTTTAATTAATGATAAATGCGTCCAGCGTGGTACTTCGTCTGCAAGGGCAAATGTTAGTAGGTGGGCGAAACATTAGTGCTTTGTGGCTAGACAGACAACCGTGTAGGATCCGTTTGTGGAAACATTAGTGCTCTGTGGCCAGATAGTCGACCGTGTAGGATCCTGTTGGCAAACATTAGTGCTGTGTGGCCAGATAGTCGACCGTGTAGAATCCGATTGAAAAGCATTAATGCTTTGTGGCCAGACAGTCGACTGTGCAAGATCCGGTTGTGGAAACATTAGTACTTTCTGGCCAAACACACTGCCGTGTAGGATCCAGTTGTGGAAACATTAATGCTTTTTGGCCAGACAGTCGGCTGTGTAGAATGTGGTCGTGGGAACATTAGTGCTTTCAACCCACATCTGGTAAAAATTTGGGGTGAAAATCAGTGCTGCCCCTCTGTCAACAGTCAAAAGTAAGATTGGTTGGGGGAAAATCAGTGCTCACTCTCCCAAAACACCCAAAGGGAGGATTGTCGTGGAAAAAATAGGGTGACCGTCAACAGTCGATTGTGTAGGATGTGGTCGGGGCAACATCAGTGCTGTCGCTCTGGTCAGACAGTCGATGGGTATAGGATCTGGTCGGGAAACATCAGTGCTGTCACTCTTGCAAGACAGTCGAAGGTATGGATCTGGTCGTGGAAACATCAGAGCTGTCACTCTAGTCAGACAGTCGATGGGTGTAAGATCTGGTCGTGGAAACATCAGTGCTGTCACTCTTGCAAGACATTCGAAGGTATGGATCTGGTCGTGAAACATCATAGCTGTCACTCTGGTCAGACAGTCGATGGGTGTAAGATCTGGTCGTGGAAACATCAGTGCTGTCACTCTTGCAAGACATTCGAAGGTATGGATCTGGTCGTGGAAACATTAGAGCTGTTACTTTAGTCAGACAGTCGATGGGTGTAAGATCTGGTCGTGGAAACATCATTGCTGTCATTCTCGCCATGCAGTCAGTGGTCGGCGTATATTTTCATTTGGTGCTTCTTCGATGGTAACAGTTTAAAATCCCAGAAATCATTCTCAGTGACACTGAATAACCACGCCCTTATAATCCAGGCCGGATGGGACGGGTGATCACATCCGTTAACACCCTTTCGTCTCGTCTACTCCAGCCATTAATCGTAATGCCTCATGAGGGAGGGGGGGGGGAAGAATGCCAAATATTGCCTTTATTATACCACTTGTGCGGTGTAGGCAGGCGCGTCTCTGAGCCTGAGGATTGACGGCTGCATGGCTGTTGCTGTCGCCGCGACTGTGCAGGTGAAGATTTTATTTTGCCCCCAACAGAAACAATGCACAGCCTTACTGAATTTTCGAACCTCGGTCTCCCTTCCATAAAACTGAAAGGTGCAAATTCTTTAAATTTTTTGCAAAATCGTTTGGTATTGGTTTGAAACCCGGTCTCCCGTTCCTGAAAACATGAAAGGTACAAATTAACTTAATATATGCTAAATCGTTTTGGGGGGTTTTTTTTTTTTGGGTTCGAAAACCTCGGGTCTCCCCTTCCATGAAGATTAATTGACTATTAATTAATATATGCTAAAAACGTTTGTATTGGGGTTGAACCCCGGTCTCCCGTTCCTGAAAAAATAAAGGTATAATTAAAATTTAAAATATGCTAAAATCGTTTGGTATTGGTTCAAAACCCCCCGGTTCCCGTTCCAGGGGAAAACATGAAAAGGGGACTAATTAACTTAAAATATATGCTAAAACGTTTGGGATTGGTTCAACCTCGGTTTTCCCCGTTCCTGAAAGCATGAAAGGTGACTAATTAACTTAATATATCTAAAAAAAGTTTGGTATTGGGTTTGAAACCCCGTCTCCGTTCCATAAACATGAAAGTGAAATTAAAATTAAGTATATCTAAAACGTTGGTTTGGTTCGAAAAATCGCAGCTATCACAGCCTAGCTGTAAACCACAAGATTCCAGCCGCGATTTTTTAAAGCCAAGAAGAAAAGACGAAAAAGAAGAATGTGTCAAACTGGGGGCCCTTTCTCGTCTCCGCCGCTTCTCTTTCCCTCCTTGTCCTGTTCTAGGTTTGGGGGTGAGTGGAATTCGTTTCACAAAACCCGATCAAATTTCCTCCCCCCCTTCTTGTTACTTTTTTAAAAAACGGAACGCCTCTTCTAGTTTTTTCCCTTGCCTCGGCGGGTCGTCTTTTTGGAGTTTTCGTCCGTTCCCCCTTTCTCAGTATGGCAGCCATCGAAGCTTTTATGTGAAGCTGCCTTGAGTTGTGTATTTCGTCTTTTAAAAGAAAATCTCACCCGACACACCAAAACCCGGGGAAAATTTCATTATGCCATCTGCAGTGGGGATTTTTGTCAGCTTTTTGCTTTTATTTTCATGAATACAGATTTAAAGCTTTTTTGTTATCTCCCGATCTGGCCATGATTTTCCTCCTTTTTTTCTTCCCCCTTCGTTAGATGCAGAAATTTAATGGACCTTTTTGTTTTTCTTTTACCTTTTTAAAAAGAGTACGTTTTCTTTCTTTTTTCTTTCCCTTTTCTTTTT